TCACTCTTCAAAATGAGAGCAAATATTTTCACATATTGAACGTTGTTACGCCTCAAGTTGCCGATAATGTTTCGTTGTCACTGGTGCAATCATGCTCTTCGCTATTGCGTATGGGCGTACTTGTCCCTTCCGCCGTTTCCTGACCTGTCCGTGGCCCGATGAATTCCCCATGCTCCTCAATTTCGTCCTCGCCCTTCTCTCAGCCAGAATCAGATTGTCCGTGAACTTCTTCACCACAATGTCGACTCTCCGATTAAGCGAATCGTCCGAGTAACTGCTGTCCGTGTTGAGATCGCAGACAGGCAGCGGATCGTTCTTCCTCGCGTGACGTTTCCTACCCTGTTGTTTAACCCTCTCGTCGCTTTTCTCTCCAAGTCGGATTCGAAGCCGATCGCGCGAGCAGTCCGTCAGGATTCCAGAGTCCAACGACTCCGCGATCAATTTCGACGAATTGGAGAGGTTCGGTGTCGAGTTCCGTTGGTAGCAGCACACGGTGTACGAGGAGTTCACCAGGTCGGCCTCGTCGTTTGAAAAGCAGCTCTCCCAGCCCGACGTCCTCAAATTATTGCCGCGCGACAGCCCGGTGTCCAGCGAGTAGATCTGAACGAAAGAGTTGAAAGAATCGTCGCCGAAGGATTGAAAATTCGACGGGGAAACGTTGTCGGCGGCGTGATGTTCGATCGACGTGCTTGCTCGATGACTGTACTCTTGCTCTTTCGTCGAGGTGTGATAGCTGCTCAAGTCGGAGTTTGTGAAACAAATGGAAGAGGTGCAGGTTAAGGAGGTGCGTATCGATCGTTTCGTTAATTCTTGCTTCAATTGTTGGTGCTTCGTCACCGTGACTGATCTCGACTCGTTAGGATTGTACTGCATCGAAGGTGGATCGACTTTCGCGATGTCGCTTGGATCCTCCGCGTCGAGGAATAGATCGTTGTCCACCGAGAAGTAGTCGTCGTAGTCCTCCTCCAATCGTTTCTTCACGTTCCCAAGAATCATTAGCTCGGAGGTTTTGTCCTCTATCCAATAATTCTGCGGCGAGTTTACGTTCGCGGATTTCACGCGAGTCTCTCTGTTCCTGTTGCTCGAGATATCTCGAATGTCGTAATTTTCGATGAACGTCGAGGGCTCCGTTTTTCCAACGCGTCCCCCTCGGGGAGGAATTCTGATCGAATCGCCGTCGGCGAAATTCGTCACGCTGTCACAGTCGAAGAAAGTTTCCGTCGACGAGTTCGCTTTATCTTTAATCGCCTCGTGTGTTTTACGTTTGACGAGCTTCCTCTCTCTCGTAGGTTCTCTGCCGGTCTCGCGATTAAAAACGCTCCGCTTCGAGCCGGCGCTCGCGCAAGGAGTTCTGCTCCTTTCTTTCCTCGATGAATTCTCCGCATCGTGCTTTCTCGATCTTTTGTCAGTTCTCTTAGTTCTGCGCTTCCTCGATGCTGCCTCTCTCAGCGACTCTAGATTCGTCTTGCTCCTCTCCTCGTCGAAATTCGTCGTCGTGAAGATCGTCTCGATATTCTTGGACGACGACGCGTTCGTTGAAATGTAATTGTCTTCCTTCGAACTTTGTTCGACGTGGTCCTTCTTCGATCCGTTTCCGTGATACGATTTCACGCTCCTAAACGTGGTTTGACAATAAGCGTCCTTCTTCGATTTTACGGCCTGATCGTTGCACGCGGCGCCACTTATCATCGAGAGAGAATTATGTCCGCTCTCTGACAAGAATTTGGCAAATTTTGCCTCCGTGCAATCCGATTGTTCCTTGTTATCCTTATCAACAGCAGCACTGACGATCAGATGAGTATCGCCAGATGAGTCTACCTTCCCTTCTGCGTTTTCTATAAATTTCCTCTGGCATTGCTCTATATTGCCACACGACTCTAACTTGGATGGACTTTTCGTTGAAAATTCACCACTGCACGCTTCGCATTCACGTGGCAATCGCGCATGTTTGCGACGTAGCATCACGCAGTGCGATTTATGATGACAGCAGCATCGTCGACATCGCGAGATCGTCGACGTGGAAGATGAGAACGAGAGAAATTGAAAGTCGTCCTCATTGGGCGTACATTTCCATGAAATATGCAAATAACTTTGACACCTGCAAATATATATTATTTAAATATTCGGTAACATAACTTCGTTATTTTATCAGACAAAATAACGACTGCGTTGCCCTGCGAACTATCTTATACATGTGTGTGTGTGTGCGCGCGCGCGCGCGTGTGTGTGTGAGGTAATTTTATGTATGTATGCATGTTATTATATATATATATATAAAGTAGTTTTATGTATATAGTAGTGTATAATATATATAGTATAATATAGTATAGTATAATACTAGTATTATAGTATTATACTATATTATAGTATTATAGTATATTATAATATAGTATATTATAATATAATACTATAATATAGTATAATATAGTAGTTTCCTCTGTGTGTGTGTGTGTGTGT